AGTGGATGGCTTTACCTTTTAGGTGGAGCTGCGATTTCTTGGGCTTCCAAGAAACAAACTTGCATTTCGGATTTGACCATGGCGTCGGAATTTATCGCCTTAGCAGCTGCTTGGAAAGAAACAGAATGGCTAAGGAATTTTGTATTCGAAATACCGTTATGGCCTAAACCGGTATCGCCTATTGCAATACATTGTGATAGTGCTGCGACATTGGCTAAGACATACAACCATGTTTATAACGGAAAGTTTAGACACATCGGTTTAAGACATAGCTATGTGAATAGTCTGATTAAAGACGGGGCCATAATGGTGGATTTTGTGCGGACCACACAAAAATTGGCGGATGTTTTCACAAAAAGTTTGCCAAGGAACGTGGTACACAAAATGTCGCAAGGGATGGGACTAGAGCCGGTTTTATGAATTGCAAGTAAAGGAATCTCAACTTAACGTCTAGTACAACGCTAGATCTTGAGTTCAATGAGTTAAATCCTTTACTATGTGATTGTAGATGCTTCAGGACAACACATCCCGAGGTAAGCATCTAGGTTATGCAATGTAAAGAGGATGTTTTAACTTAATGAGTCCTTTGACAAAGCGCCTAGTTGCAGGGCATGATACCATAAAGGATTCACCTATACAAGCATGAAGTGATGCCGCTTCAAGATGTTGGTGGCTCAACATCCGTGTGCTTGTGAATGGATATGGACACATGGCCATTATAGTGTCAAGGATTACAGAAAAACTTGTAGTGACTTTGTGTGTATTTTGTACTCGGTAGCTCAATTAGGATTACTAGGTTCAATCGTTTCGACACCTATGTAATTCGAGTTTATTGTTGTACGTTACACTAAGTGGAAGTTCAATCAAAAGATACTTTCATTTATGCACAAAGTTGTGAGGATGACAGATTGTCGCTTGGTTTCCATAGACAACCTACTCTAAAATGGTGGAGGATTGTTAGTTATTTTAGAGTAGATTGGTGGACTTTAAAATCTCTCAAAGGATTCTTGTTTCACGTGTATTACAAGTGTGGTGGAGGAGTAAAATGCTTGTAAAAGACGTGTCGTGAATTGGTTAAGTGTTAAGGATTAGTCGGAAGATATTGAAGGTAGCTCGTTTTCCCTATGAAACAAAACTGGAAAAAATGAGCGACCGCTCAAAAAATGAGCGATCGCTCGGAAAATGAGCGACCGCTCAGGAAAATGAGCGGGTAGCTCATTTTCTCTGATGAACAAAACTGGGAAAAATGAGCGACCGCTCGGAAAATGAGCGACCGCGCTCATTTTCTCTGATGAACAAAGCTGGGGAAAATGAGCGACCGGTCAGGAAAATGAGCGGGTAGCTCATTTTCTATGATGAACAAAACTGGGGAAAATGAGCGACCGCTCGGAAAATGAGTGACCGCTTGGAAAATGAGCGACCAGTTAGGAAAATGAGTGGGTAGCTCATTTTCTCTGATGAACAAAACTGAAAAATGAGCGACCGCTCGAAAAATGAGCGACCCGCCTGATTTTTCTGAGTTGTTCAAAATGAACGAAAAATCGTGTCTGTTCGGGAAAAAACTTCCGATTCTTTGTACCTTTTGACTTTTGGAGTGTTAAAA